TGTAATCTTTCATATTCCCTTCTACCATTACTCATTCTGTTTCACTTTTATACTTGTCAAACTCTGTTGATTCTCTTCACTCATCTTCTTGTCTACCTTTGTGTGCTATTTGGAACGTGGCAACTTGAACTGCTGCACTTCGATGCCAAGTTCTATATTGAATCCAGACAGACAGACATCTCGGAAGTCGTCCTAACATAACTGTTCAACAGACAGAACAGTAAAGTTACATGAATCAATCACGTGTTCGTATCGTTTCATTTATTTTATGAATTTTCAACACAAATCCTATTTTAATAAAAAGACAGTTGCAGCGAAGAAAATTTTCTTTTCGACGAAGTCATCATCTAGGCTGTACATTCGTGTATTTATATCAAATGGATAGGAAAGTTCCAGAATAATTTCTGGTTAGGGGTCAAATTAATAAAAAATTACAATTAGGAATTAAAATGACATAACAAACAGGGGGATGGGTAAAACTCGAACAAAGTAGCATTATAATAACTAAGAAGATTGACATTGTGCAATTGGGGGTTAGAAATGTAGAAATAACAAAATATACAGGATGTTTGGATAAAAAACTAATATGATGAATAATTGTTTATGCAATCAGGGATTAAATATGTAGAAATAGTAAAATGACAAAATAAACAGGAAGAGTGGGTATGAAAATATGGTAGTGTAAACAGGGTTTAAGAAAACTTAAAATAACATGAATAAACAGGAAGTTTAGATAAGAAAGGTGATGAGATTGTCATTACTAAAAAAAATTTTACCTGTTTATGATGGCCATGGTAGGGAGAGGGGTTGGACGTAATTCTTTTGGATACAAAGTGTGGGTTTGAGCTTTTTGGATAGCTAGCGCCTCAGCTATGCCCAGATGTGTTGATTTGACTCCCTTTGATAGGTTTGATTGAATCTTGTATATTACTTTGAAGGATTTTTCGAAAGGCGCTGACTGTCCTGAGTTGACCAGATGTTCTGTCACTGAACTGTATACACGTTTTCGGTCTCCTTTTACTAGCCTGTCTGTTACCAAGTCCCTTATCTTCTCCCTTTACAATTGTATGTCGGCTAATGCTAATCCACCGCGAATATCCTTAATTTAACACCACCAAGTGAGAAACTTCCTACATTTACACTAAGAAGGAATGAATAGTATGCGGATAACGTGACAGTGTATTTAAAGTTAGCAGTTACATATATGGTTACATTTGGTAGTCCCAAAAAGGCGAAAGAAGATGTTAACCGACATTTGTTTAAGTGCCATGAGAATATGTTGTAGCTGTTTAGGTATTCCAAACAGTAAGTCACAGATCCAACTAACTTCAGTTTACAAAAGTGAAATCGTTCCCTCTTGTGATTCATTACATGAAACCACATTTAGTCTAGCACTTATTTACTTTTCTACAATCCAGCGATTTTGTATACAAGTTTATTTTTTTCTCATTTGAGTACTGGTATTTCATGTTGTACCTGTCCATTGTATTGGTTAATTCTAATAGTAAGATTTTCTCTTCATTCTTTTTTTTAATAAAGTACCTTTGGTACTTTCCGGATTCCAAGGACATACAGGTTGGTTGACTTCAGTTGCTTGGGCACCTCACAGGGATGATCAATTTATATCTGGATCAATTGATCGTAGTGTTCGTCTATGGGATACACGTAATCCTCGTGCTTCTTTGTACGATTTAATGGGGCATGCTGATATGGTGACCGATGTTGATTGGGCTCCTGCAGTCGAGTCATCTACAGGTGTTAAACCTACGCATTATATTTTAAGCTCTTCAGCTGATTCTACCATCAAAGTTTATCATTATCCAGATTAATGCAGTGCGCCTACAATGTCGTCAAAGCATATTCATCATCATTTTTACTGCATTCTTTTGAAAGCTTTAACAACTTTAACTTGTATAGGCATAAAATACTTATTTGGAAAAAAAAATCAATGTACAGAAAATATACACGTCATCATAAATATACATATTTCAAGTTATATTTCTTCACATTAGTGTTTTTTCTATACAGTGTGATATGCTTTGTTTCTCGTATGTGTGAGCAAAAAAAATGTATCTGAAAATTGTTCCTCCTTTGGTTTGAGCTAAATTCGATTTTGTAATATAATCAAGGCTGTGAAAAGTTGGAGGATCATAACTATTTTGGAATTTCCATCAAACATTTTAAGAGTTACTACTTTGATGATTATTTGTTAGTCGTTTGTCTAAGATGCTGGATCATACTGCGTCTGCAGCATCATTTCAGTGAAGGTGACTTGTGTAATCAGGGGGTTCTTGGACTTTTACGGCAAGATATTATTTAAGAAAAATAAATTCGCCGATGACATTGGCGGTAAAAATCGCGAATTGACAGAAGTTAGAATCCATAGGCTATTGAATTCCTTCCTAGTGGCCGGATGATCAGTGGACAGGCTTTGTAACTTGATGGTCCTGGGGGGCGATCCCTGGTGGGACCATGGGGGTGTGCTGCTGAAGAGTCCTAAACTAGGAGGAGACAGTTGTCCAGCACTACCTGTTTTCCAAGCTAATATCAAACTTAAAGCTAGTCAAACCCCTATAGACTACTACAATTTACTCTGCTGTTTAATGTGGTAGGTGAAAATTGTGTGTGTGTGTGTGCAAAACTGGCTACAGTTTTGTTGATGCTCACATGAATGGATTATTCTCTTGCTTTATGTTTGCACTTAATTTGTTAAGGTTTGCCACCTGTATAGCTTTTCTTTTGTTTAAAAAAGGGAGCATTCAAGTGCTTGTTTTTTATCATTTACAGGTGTTTGATTCGCAAAGAGACTAGTTGGTAATAATCACATATCTTGTCTTATTCAATGTCTAACAGTATAGTTACTTGGGTCTTTATCATATTTTTTATCCGATACTTTGTATTTAATGATAGTCATATGTTTGTTTGTTTGGTTTTTAGCAGTTAAAGTAGTAATTTTATACGACCAAAACTTATTTCATGTACCGATAGTGTGATAATGCTTAGAATTAGATAGTTCACATACAAGTGCATAGCATACACATGCGTGTATACATATTTCACGAATTAGCCGATACAATTTAGTTGAAGTTATACAGCTTCCGCTGGAGTTTTCGTTTTCATTCAGCCAAGCTAAAGATTCTTTGTCGAGAGATGATACGATACATGCTTTGGTCATTGGCAATAGCTTTGCTTGCTAATATCACTCTGCACAGGTTTAGACGATCTCAGCTGAGAAGTTGAACTCATAACTCACTGTCCAACTCAGATGACAAACTAAATTTCACATACACTAAACTCATTAAGTAAGTAGTTTGTACTATAGTGTATGTGAAGTCGTGACAGATTAGGCGGTAATGCTATTGTTCAAATTTCAGAGTTGTTTCGTTTCCGAATGTTCTTCAAATCATGGTAAAACTTTGCACAAAAGGAATGTAATGGTATCATAAGTAAATGAACGACGTAATAATTTGATGGTGGTTATAAGAGCTGATTATTTTTGTACCATACTGGAAAATTTATGCTGTGTCACGATGATTCTTCAACCTTTGTTGTGATTGTTTCTTTGACTTGAACTTTGACCTTTTGTGTGTGAGGTTTCTTTCTTATCGGTTGATAAACTTTGTCTATCTCGATGTGTCTATTGATTGATGATTCACTGGAATGCCAAGCTTCTAAAAATTCTCTAGCATTCTTGTTGTTTCCTCTGTCTAATATTTGAACGTTGTCCCAGTCGAATTGATGTCCGTGGTTGTCTGTATGTAGTGATATGAGGGAGTGGATATCATGTCTTTTGACGGCTAGCTTATGTTCGTGGATACGAAGACGAAGGGGACGTCCACTTTGGCCAATGTAGTGTTTTTCGCAGTTGTTACAATCTATTTTGTAGATGATGTTGGTTTTATCTTCTTTCGCTGTTGAGTCTTTTGGTTGACATAGAACTGAGTGAAGTGATTTTGTTGGTTTGTGTGCGACGTCAATTCCTAAAGGTTTGAAGAGTCTTGCAGTGATTTCTGAGATATCCTTTATATATGGTAGGGCCATTTTCTTTGGGGGCTTTTGGTTTGATAGGTTGGTTTGGGGGTATATGTCTTTTGATGAAATTCCGTGGATGTCCATTCTTTTGGAAGACGTCCGTGAGATATCTTTCTTCAATTTTCCTTAAGGTGGGAGTGCTGCAATGAGTCCTGGCCCTCTTGAATAGTGTTTGTATGCAATTCCTTTTGTGTGTTATTGGATTGTTGCTGTTGTAATTCAGTATTTGGTCTGTGTGAGTTGATTTTCTATAAACTTGACTTTCTAATTCTCCTGTGGTTGTTCGCTTGACTAAGACGTCCAAAAATGGGATTTTGTTCTCGGATTCCTCTTCTCTTGTGAATTTGATGTCGTTGAAGACGTTGTTTATTAAGTTGTGAGTATGATGATGTTTTTCCAGTAAACGCGAGTGAATGAACGGAGATACCAGTGAACAAAAGTCGTTAATCTTATATTTTCAGCTGTCATGTCTCATATTATTAAAGCAGAACGAAACAGATTGCTGCTCAGTAGACGTCACCGGTTATGTGATGAGTTGTCGAATATCAATATACACAAGTTGGCAGATGTCAAACAAACCTTTTTTATTATTCGAGCGACTAGTTTATTAAGGTCAATACAAGTTTCTAGGTAAGTAGGGTAGCCAGCCAATGCATCTAACTATTTTGCATTTGATAGCACTAAAACACACGTCAAGCGCCTTCACATAATCTTCTACAGAGTATTTAGAAATCTCAAATTTTTGTTTACGTTTTTTTTTCAAATATTGTCTACTTTAATATACTTGGTTCCTTTCTGATACCAAGTCCACTTTTGAGAGACTGCTGTTTATATAAACTTAGCCAAATTAAATCAATCAATCAAATTTTTACTAACAATGTTTTATCTTTTATATGAATTTAGCCATTATTGTACTGTGGTTTAGTTCAAGTTCAATCGTCTCACTTTTTTCTTCTTTTTCTACAGAATTTGATTTTAGTTCCAACAGAAGCTTATATTTATGCAAGCACCTGATCTGTGTGTTAGAGTGAAATTCCATTGACGTTATTCATTTTCGTACGATAACATTCTCTTCTAAAATGCCATTGATTATGTTATGCGGATATCCTTGTTCTGGTAAATCAACAATAGCTGCTCTGCTAGCCGATTCATTGAAACAAAACTATCCAAATTCCCCAGTTATAATTATCGATGAATTCAAGAGCAGTAGTCTTCAATCTGGAAACGCCAGCCATGATATTAGATGTGATATTTATTCTGATTCTCAAAGAGAACGTGAATTTCGTGGTCAACAAAAATCGGAGGTATGAATTAAAAAAAAAAACTAACTGTTCACTTCAATCAGGTATTTATTTGCAAAGTGTATACTGTCAAAGATGAATTTTCATCACTGTTTCCTTTTGTGAACCGAAAACTTTTCTAGGCCGGTATTATATAATCTGTCCGAAGCAATAAATCCAGCCAATTTTGTCGTCGGTACTGATCGACACCAACCAACTTGCGTTTGCTTGGTGGATTTAATCTATCAGGCCGCTCAAGTAGCTGGCCAGAGTATGGAGATGGTTTAACACATCCGGCTGTTTTCGCTGAATTGATCAAGATGCTTCACACTGACATGTTGGTTTCCGAATAAGCTAGATAGCCAACTTTCGTTTAGATCATCTTGATCTAATATAGGTTCTTAACCATTCATATCAATCGATCAGAATTTTTTCGGTAAAAGAAAGAATTTAACTATGAATACCCTACTCACTATTGTCTTTCATTCTTTGAGTAACTATCATAGAAAAAACACGCCTTGTAAACCAGAAGGTCCTGTGTTCGAATCCCGGTGGGTGTGTACTGATGAAGAGTCTCAAACTAGGACGAAACAGCTGTCCAGTACTCCCAGATTTTCCAATGGTTCTCTAACTAATGTCAGCACATGATGAAAATCCTGTAACCAATCAAATCCCTACAAACCAACACTTGAATATCAATGAGATGCTCACTAGGACTGCAGGGTTCTAGTGAGAAGTCGTGACCAGTAGGGTGCAACAGGTCGGGTGTGAGGACAAATACTCGCCGAAGACATTGGCTAGGGGTCGCGCTATGTCGTGAATTGGCAGAAGTAGAATTCATGAACTGGCCATTGATCGGTCCAGTGTTCTCTACTAGTACTCATGATGAAATCCTGTAACAAAATATGCATGAGTTGTCAGATGTATAGAACTGGTTTAAACTACTATTTAATTCTTCTATTCATTTGATATTACATGTTTCCAGCTGTGAGAATGACCACACTTTCAACATTTTGTAATTCATAGTCACAACTTACTTACGCATAAGTTATTATCTAATCACTTATGGATTTAACCACCAGCCACAGCTGATGGTATAAGACATGTTAAGTCATTCAAACGCAGGATTACTCAGTAGACTTCATTTTGGATACATCTATTGTAATGTATTTGAACAAGCTAGCAACATCTTGTGCCGCCTGTTTAACGTTTAGCTTCTAAGGGTTCGAAATTTCCCCAAGTTATACGGTTCTAATTACTAATCTCTACACTCAATGGTTTATATGGAGTATATTTATCTGAAGAACTGATATCATCGCTCGCTGGCAAATGTCTATGGCATAGTAAAGAGGAGACTTACACTGAGCCTATAGCTATTCTCACTTTTATCGCTATCACTCTGAAACGATACTTCTCTTAACGTTAGTTAACTAAGTCTTAAAGGTGGATGTCACTACAAGTGTGGAAATGCAGTACACATACATAGTGAACTCTTTTGGCAGATTTTGTTGCATGGATGTGTGAAATCAAACATACATGTAAGTAAAAGCGATAAATGCGTGCATTCAAAATATTATTACCCGTGTTTGCGTCAACCATCTGTCATCACTTCATAATTTATATTATTTGAAATAATTGTGACACACAATTTCCCTCTTATTCATATAAGCAGAGTTTACACCTAAGCTATTCACAGTTACTCATCCTAATCTGTTCTCCATAATTTATTACCTGAAACTTCAGTAATTTATGAACAGGTATATAGCATTTTGACTGCATAGGCATAGTCTGAGAGTATACATGTGAAGAAATCTGGTACTTAGGCCTTTTAGCAATGATTGTAACAATTGTACAAGTTACACGAATGCATTTCGAGTGTATTTTATCTTTTCCACTTGATATATATCCTATTTCTTTTCTACATAGGTTGAACGGGCACTTGCACAAAATCAATCTTCCATTGTAATTATGGATGCACCGAATTACATTAAAGGCTATAGATATGAATTGTATTGTTTGGCTAAATCTCATAAACATCAACACATTGTTCTACTCAGTGATGTTTCACTTGAAATATCTGAACAATGGAATTCTAAAGTAAAAAGTCACTTTTGCTATAATTATTCATTTATTTTATGCGTGTGTGTGTGTGTGTTGCGAGACTGATAATAGGTAATGAATGTGTCTTATAAGTGATTGTTCGAGAACTACTCATAAGACATCAAAAGTTATATTTCTTACTATGCTTCAGAAATTTGTTACAAGAGAGTTATTAGCCAATAAATGAAATATATAAGTCATAACATTATTTTTCAATTGATTAAGAAGTTATATACTGATAATATCCATATTCATATATTTGTTGGATATCATCACACAATGTAAAAGCATATTTTTCAATGAATGATGCTTCGAACACAATTTATTCTTCATAAGGCTAAGGATAAAAGCTGTCGCGAGGTGTTTTTCGCATATAGTTAGCAAATTCCACAACACAGGTGTTACTGGTGGTGGGTACAGGAAGTTGATAAACACCTAAACGTAACGTCGTAATTGACCGCCACCGTTCTACCTATTCAGGTATACTGAGACGAAGCGCGGCAAGTTTGTTTTGCAATATCCTTATATCCTCGCCTGTTCATAATCATATCAGTTGACAACTGATATGCCCAACGAACACAAACAGGAAACTTTATATTATCACAGTGTCTCAGTTTTACAAACATATTTCATTAAATAACTTGCTTTTTAGATAAAATCTCGAAAATGATACTAATTATGTGTGTTTTTTTGAAACCTAAACAAACAACAGATTAGCCGGTATCCCGATGACTTACTTATGGATATGATAAGCAGATTTGAACGACCTCAACCCAATCAGCGATGGGATAATCCACTTATAATTATAGAACCTCATCTTTGGGATTCACCTAACCTAATTAATGTAGAAACTGTCACAATGCAATTGAAACCATTCCTAACAAAAGAGAAAGGGAAGATTCAGCCGAACAAATCAACTCAACCAACTGTTGTTTCTTCATCAACCTACTTACAAGTAAGTAAGTTTTTGGTGAGAAGTATTCTAACATACTATTGAACCAATACTCCTGCATGACTATGATTAAACGCCTGAGCAATATTGTAAGCGTTTACAAAAACTTTGCATCTAGAAAGTGCTCAAGTTTCTTTATGGCATTAAAATTATTTCCATAAGAATGTATTGTGTAACTAAAAAATTTTGTACTTGAAGATATCATTTAAAAGGATTCTGCCTAAAATGCCTACTGATCGCAAGAATTTCGTTGTAACAGTGTTCACTTCAAGGAGTAACCAGATATTTGAATGGTTGTTTGAAACCAAATTGGATAGCAAATGTAGACGAAATTGGAGATATTGTGGTACTTATTTCATTCTTATACTTATAAGTAATTCCTTCACCTGGGCATAGCAAATTGTGAATATTATTTACGTGAAAGGTCTGGCGTTCACAGTAAACCTGGATTGAATGATAATTCTGAGGACCAGGCTACTGATCTGAATTTTCACGTTGTTGGGAGGTCGAGTGACAAGAGATTATACTCAAGCAATACCTAAATTCTACGCTGATCATAAGTCAGTTGGTGAACTTAATTGTAAGTCTACACTAACCGGTTTTTATGGACTGACATTAATTATGGGCAGAAGAACAGCAGTTCTTAAGGTAGCAAGATGCTTTCTCTCGATCAGATCACTGTAGTTTAATTTCCATGAGCAAGGATATGCTTAAGATAAATTGCGCCTTTCTCAAAATCCACATAGGCGAGTTTTTGCTGAGTTCTGTAATACATCTCCAAAACTTTTTGATTATAATACTCTTCCCTGCATATTTAACTTTTATTGATTCTCAGAATTTAGAGCATATCACTCAACAAATTGTGGATCACATACTGAATAAACAAGCGCAAGGTGCTTCATCTATCGATCTACCTAAGCGCTTTCAGAGGGCAGATAATCAGGACGTAGTTCTACAGATTACCAATCAGGAGAAAAAATACACTGCAGGCAACCTTGTTCGTTTAAAACGTCGTTACATTGCAGTGCAGCGATTAAAATTTGACGAATTCAACAAAACTCCAGATAATGTTTCAATAGCAACAAACTTTTTGCAGTTCATTTCGCTTAGTGAGGATGCAAGTGATGATGAAAACAAATGAACATTACCAGTATAGAAATTTGTAAACACGACAAGAGTATTGAAACTTTCGATCGGTTATTGAATCTATTCTTGAAGTTTTTACTTAATTGAATAAAAAATTATATATATATATATATTCCTTAAATTTAACGTACTTGGAATACGCAACATGCACTTTTATTTTTGTTTCCTTATTACAGTGGTTGTATAGCTAAATGGTAGGAAGTTAGCGAGTAGTAGCTATGCAGTGGAAGCTGGTCACACTACTAAGCATAAGTTAAGAAGCCATATTTAATGTACAACAAATGAACTATGAATATACTATAGCATAGCGAACTTTCTATAATCAATCGGGACACAAAAAAGTACTTAATGTTCATTCGTTCAGTATGGAACGTAAAGGCCTTACCAGTACATCTTCATTTCTTCCTTACACTATTTTATCCATATCGCTTCAGGACGCCTAACTCGTCACCTAGTTAACCTGTTGGAAAAGAAGAAAGACTGGCTGTGGGACTAGCAACTCCACACAGCACAATTCTCGAAAATGCCAATTGTTCCAAGTTTTATGGACAGCCTTTCAAGTAACACTATTCTGAAGATCTTCAGCTGCACAAACTGAAGTGTTTTATGCATAATTAATGATAAGACTTACTTAAGAGTTATACACCCACGCATGCAAGGATAATACCGAGTCGCCTATTGCAATAAAATAACGTGCAGGTGAACACACAGCAAGCTTACTTGCTATCGACTGAAACTGCTCACAATCTGTTAATATTCTTTCTTATTATGTTCACTAATATTAGTATTAAATAAAAAGAATAACTTCACAAAAAAAAGAGATTGGAAAATACTACAATGATTATGATGTAAAAAAAAAAGAGAGAGAGAGAGGAGTGAATGAGAAGAAACTAGGATAGGATAACTCTCACAGGATAATTGAAAGTCTGATAATAGCATAGTTAAAATGTGTCCTTTTCGTTTTAAAAAAACTTGTCTGAGTAGATGAAGATCAGAATAGGAGTAATATAAATAATAATAATAAATTATTTTATGACCAAAGTCCAATTATGTTCATATAATAAGAGTAATATTAGTAGTAGTAAATAGAGTGAGGTGGTGTGTGTATATGTGATAAACAGAATCGACTAATCAAAACAGTATCATCCTATGAATAAAAGCGAATAAAACGTCATTATATATATATGTATATATAGTAATTTCAGTTTGTTTGTTACCGATTTCTATATCCATATGAGCGACCACTGCTAGCATACTACTGTCAGTTAGTTATACAGTAAACAGGATATATGTAATATATATATTACCGACAAGTGTAAATATACATTACTCGTGAAAAGTGTAAATAATAGTTTTTTCTTCTTTTTTATTTAAAAAAAAGTCATTTTGTGCATGAATTCGTGCATCTGTAAGAAAGGAGGATAAAATGATCTCGTTTTTTGTTGTTGATGAGTTTGAATGTTGTGTAGTGTTGTTGTGTTAAAACAATCTTGCTATATTAGAAGAAAGAGTTGAGGAAAGAGGATAAGTGACCGACGACTATGAAATTGAATGGTCGAATTATAAGTTATAAAACTGTGAGAGTATAACAACATGATTGCCTACATAATAGATGAAGGATGTATATATATCACTGACATCATACGATAAACCACGCTTACCTGTCGTCTAATCAATGTACCTTTGTTTAAACACGTCTGTGTGTGTGTGTGCGTATGTGTACACGCATTTGATGACTGACTGTGTATATATAGATTGAAGTTTGGTCAAACAGATAAATTGTATAAGCTAAATATCCTGAGGCTGTGTGTGTGTAGCATGATTAGATAGGTGAATATCACTAGGAATAAAATTCACAAATTTGCCAGATTTATCTAGAAAAAAAGGAGGAAGCCTAATTCATTCACACACTGTAAATCATTTGGCGACAGCCTCCGGTGAGAGAAAAAAAAAGAACTTTGAAAGGATAAACAGATGAAGGGTATAATATGTTCGAATCATCCACTTTTATTGTTGAAGTTGTGAAGCGCAGGCCTCTGTAATATGATGGCATTCAATGAATTCTACGGGATTTGATCAGAAATAATAAAATTTCCTCCCGAAATTAACCTCTCCGTGAAGTAAGTTCCTTACGACGAAATCCCTGCAAAAAACGGTTGAATAAAAAAAAGAAACAATGTTTGCAATTGTTACATGTGTTTTGTAGTAACCACCAATAACACACATTAAGAATATATCTCAAGAAAATATTTTCAGACAAAATAAAGATATCACTAATCTACTCGGTATTCCTAACTGACTTAACGCATTCTCTTTACTTGAATTCTTGAATATAATAGTACGGGAAAATTATTGTGTAATACCCTTAATAACACAGCAGTAGAGTTTAGTAATGTCTGTTTCGGCAGGGCTTCGAAGTTCTTATACTAACACTCCAAAATAGAGAATGTATACAATTTTTCGCAATAAAGCGGTTTTCAGCGTGTCCGTTCAGATACCTCTAAGGTACAAGGAGATAAGAAGCACTGGGAGTACAGCCGTTGTTTGTGTATAGTTATGCAATTCTTACTTCAAAACTAATGAACACACTGCCGAAGAGTCCCAAACTGGGACGAAACAGCTATCCAGTACTCCCAGGTTTTCCAATGGTTCTCTAAACGATGTCAGCTCATGACGCTATCCTCCAACCAATCAAACAAAACCAATACTTGAAGACACGTAAATAGCGAAAACAATGACCGAATATATAAGTTAAGAAGACATAGCTTACCTCTTGTCTTTCACGTTGATCGTAATAAAAGAAATCGTCGAAAATAGACAATGTATGTGAATATGTAGCGAGTACCTCCATAACCTGTCGACCTCTTTCTAAGGGAAGCTCTGTAGTATCACGCGAGTGGGTGACTGGTTTGTTATCATTTGTCTCAATACGAATATGTCTTAATGCAGTGTTAGGAACGTCTTTTACGAATATCCACCGAACCGAAAATTTACCTTGCCACTTATCTTGAGCCCAAACATTAGCTCTAGCATTATAGTCAACTCGAGAAACCATTTCTGCCATTCCACAAAAATGACCAGATCCGTTAACTGAAAAGAATAAATATATTGGATAAGCATGATTAGCCTCTGCAAATGCTGTATCAAGCTTTTTATTGCCCAATTCTGTTGAACACCAGATAGAGTATTTAATAGACCGATGTATATCGTCTTCAGAAAACGATTTGATCACAAAAAATCGAGCTTTTTCAACATGTGTATCGAAATTAGTGGGGTTGATTACTTTTGCCAAGCGCTCATGCAATGCTTCTGATTCGCGTTGGAAAGCTTTCGATGACTCCTCTGAAGGTAACAAAGCAGATGTCGATGTATTTGCAGAAAAATCACCATTGTTTGCTGATGTACCTTTCATTTCTGAACCAGATTCTGGATTTCCTTGTTCATTGACATTTGATTTTTCCTGTGTTAAATGTCCATTACTACACGAGGAGTTCGGTGCCAAAGGATGACTTCTGTTACCTGAATAATTAGCAGTGGCAGTTTGGAAAGATCTGTTTGAATTTGATAAGTTGTGGGCATGAGATCTTTTTGTAGACCACCCAACAGAATTCTGTAGTACCGCAGCCGACCCTTTTGGTGGCTGTCCTGCTATATTGGCCCAAGTTTTTGTGCGTGGTGAATTATTGACAGATGTAGAAGTAGACGATTGTGTAGGTCTATTGTTAGTTGAAGTTGACTGTCTGTTTGTTGCATAACTATTTGCATTTGGCTGGGATCTTGATATGTTCTCCAACTTGTCGACTGAAGGCACGCTATTAGTAATCTATGAAGAATAAAAATATATTTACTGTTTAGTGATTCGCTTACATTTACAAGTATACAAAGCAATTTGTTAGTGTCACCAACATGTCCCCAATATATCTTTACAACAAAATTTGTTTCTAAGTGAGTAAACCAATGAATATACAAATACAGACGATTTCGAGTTGTTGAGATTAAACATACGGTTGGACACATGATTTGAAAAATTACTGCGATTCACGAAGTAATTCTTGGATCAGGGGACTTGCAATGTAATGAGTAATTTGAGAAATTACTTGCTGTGACTTTAAAGACCATTCCAGGGATTTAATGAGCTAATAATTATGAGACATAACATTGATGTCAGTCTCATGACAAACAAGCGATCAGATCACTCTTATGTTAAGGCTCCTTTTCCATCAAATACGAGGTTAAACGTGATGGCATTTAAAGTGATCACCTTAACAAGAATAATAAGTGTCTTTTAATTTGGTTGTGTTCTATGAGCTGGCTGATTTAGTTGTCAAGCTTTCGGTGTCCTTCTAAACGACGTCTTCAGTACAAGCTCTTAATACAAAGTCAGAGAACACAACCAAGTCGAAATCATACACTTGAGCTGTAAATCTTCTTTATTAATGACTGTCTTGGTATTTTATCCTCAGTCGATGTACAACAGTGGTAAAGTGGTCCATCAGACGCGATAAATCCAGTTTTAATAACAAAATAAGAGAGTTTTCTCTTATCGACTGAATATACCACAGACGAAATCAATATATTAGTAATCAGTAAAGGTGCTATTAAAATTTAGTGAGAAAATTCCCTCTGAGAGAATTCTTTAACAAAACACAATGACGAATTTTTTTGTTGAACACCAGTTTTACGCATTTCAAGTGAGAAATAAACAGTTTTTCTAAAGAAATAGTTTCGATGTATCCTGAGCAAACAACAGCTTAAAACAACGAAGCAATAACAACCCTGGAAATCATGACAGTCATATAATGAATGACAGCAACGATAAGTCAATAAAGAAGTATGCTGATAGCAAAAATGTTCAAAATTTATGCTGAGACATAGTCCTCGCCTGGAAAGAAATATATTTGACAAAATAAAAAGAAATGAATATGTTGTATAACCTTTGTAAAGTCACATTTGTTGTTATAATCACTCACTCAATCAATCAGTATTAATTCATGGTGTTACACTGGACAGAAATGCAACCACGCCTATATTGGTTAAAATCCATGAATTATAGAATACTTGAAAGCTTATTTGTTAACTGATAAATAGTTCGTATATTTTTTGAAGGTTTTAA